AGAGTGTCTATCGAAGAGTTCAAGCTGCTCATCTAGCTAATCGGTATGGAGATGATGAAGATTTTAGTATAGAAATTTGCAAAATTCCCGCACTTGCTTTTCTGCCTCTAGATGAAATTCCTAATGCTTTTAATGAGTTAAAAGATAATATTGATATTTCAGAGGAAGCAAATTCAATTATTGAATGGTTTGAGGAAAACTATATTCATCGCAAAGTAAAACGAGTATCCAAAAATAGGCATGTGACTTGGAGAACCCCATTATTTCCACCTTCTCTCTGGTCAGTTTATGAAAATAATGAATATGATTTTCCTAGAACTAACAATTCTGTTAAGGCCTGGCATAGAAGGTGGGCAACTCTAATTGGCAAGAAAGATTTAAATATCTTTAAATTTATACAAGAAATTCAAAAAGAACAACATCGAGTCTAACTTGATATAGAAGCTATTTTAAGAGGAGCACCAAGGCCTTTTCAAAGAAGACAAAATAAAAAATGTGAATCACGAATTCAGGCAGTGTTAGATAATTATAATAATATATCACTAACGGACTTTCTTCGAGGAATTGCTCACAATCTTTCATTATAGATTACATATTGTAACTGGTTAACTGGTTTAGTTATCCAGATTAACCCAACAGCCCGGGATATTATTATTACAAAATATATTTCTTGAAGTCACCCTATTCCTCTTGGTTCTACTAATTAATTATGTAATGCGAAGCTTTAAAACAAATAATTCAAAAATTTTTCCTATTTTGAAAATTTGTTTAAGAAACTAGTTTTGTGTTGTTTATAGAGAGCTTCCACTAATGCAATGCTTTTCTCCTTTAACAATGATTATTAGCAAAATTAAAGATTTTTTTTTGATTATAAAATTGACTAATAGGTTACACATATCTGGTTAGCTTAGGAAATAACTTAGCATTAGGATAATATAACCAGTAAAGAAGCCTTTTGTAATTGATAAATAAATCATAGGTTTGTTGTATAAGTAATGATAAATTTTTTTAAAATGCAAGGTTTTAAGTTTGAAGTAAATATTATATTATAACAATTTAGATCTTTTAAAAATTTAAAATAGATTAATTTTGAATATTACTCAAAAGTTAAACATTAGCAATATTGTCCTGCAGATAAAACAGATAACTAGCTAATAGTTAAAATATTGGCTGCATAAAAATTAATTTATTTACTATAAAATCTTGAAATAGTGGTCTTGGGTTATTATGAATTTAGACTCACATTAAGCTTAATTAACGGGTTTAAATCACCATCTAATAAGCTAGGTGCTGGACCAAATTGATAATTATTTCAAAAGAAAGATTTTATATAAATCAATTTGGGTTACTTAAAACATAAAGTAGCTGTATTAATATTTACCATATAACATAAAAAGTGTCTTTGATTTACATTATTTGTATATTCAAAAATCAATTATACTTTCACCTTTACTATTTTTATTAATAATTGTATAACTCTAAAAATATCTGATCATGATATTTACTAATTGTCTACAATCCAAATTTTCCAAAAGGTCAACTCAATATTAAGTCATCTGATTTTTTTTAATAACCTTTTGACAGAATTTATAAAAATTATTAAAAATTGGGTAATGCTATATAATTTGGATTTCTTTACAAATTTTTATAGATCCCTGTAATATTAGCTACTCGAGTAGACCTATTCAGGTAGATTAGAGTAAAATATAGTTACAATAATTTGTTGTACATATATCAAGTTAATAACTGCATCAAATTAAACATTAATTAATTTATAGACAAGCTTATTTCATAGACAGTATTAGCTGATAGCTCATTTTACCAATAAATTATTTTTTAAATTGCGCTAATCTTAACTCTAATTCTAAACTTAACCTTAATGACAATGCCTAAAAATGCATTTTCTATAAAAGGTGCTATTGATGAAATATACTTTTTACGAAATGAACTTGTCTGTAAATTAATTAGCTGTTTTACTTAAATAATCGGTCTACTATGTATGTAATCTGATTAATTAAGATAATAGATATCAGATGTTGTTTAGCCAATATATAGATTATAAAGTAGTATTGTGTTTTTAGTAAAGGTAGATATTAGCATTTTTAAATAATCCTGTAATTACTACGTAGATTAGCTAATCACATGATATTCAGATATAACTTAGAATATAATCATTATTCTTTTACTTCAATAGGATATAAAACAGGTATTAGATTTTATTAAAGGTTATACCCTTTCAGATAAAAAGTTATCCAGGTACAATTACTAATTGCATTATACATATCGATATATCAGTACTTAATTTTATATTTATATATATATAAACTTAATGTAATTTGTATCCTAAATTATGTCATATTTATGTATATATATTTCAGTATTTATTTATTATTATACTGCTGTACTGTATATGAAATTTTTAACATACATCGATCAAATAAAGCCACGCCACAATTTCTGATCGATTACTACTTAGTAAAAAAAAAAAAAGCAAGAACAAGAAAAGAACTGATACTTATTATAGCAAGTTTTCCAGAGATTAGACCCATATAAAATTTGAGCTCCAGGTTACTCACCCGTTTAAAAAATCATTATTGGGTCACAAACTGGGCACTTTAAATAACCTGGGTTATCCAGGTGACCCAGTTAAGAAATCACTTTATCAAATGTGAAAACTAATATTTCAGGCATCATATTTATTATAATATGTAAAATTGTCTTACTGAATTTATATTTACCAACTAAATTAAACGTGAATAAAATGATCGCACATAATAATAAATAAGTATTTATAAACTTGTTTTGTGAACTTGACCGATTGATAATTTATAGTTATACTACCCAACAACCAAATTAATGTTAATGAATTGATTGGTACATAATAGTAGATAAA